TGTACCGTTTGCATTACTATCCACTCAATCGAACTTGCATATGACCATTCCTGGAGTAGACGACCTTTCATCTTACAGAACTTTAGAGCTTTACTAACGGGGGTACCCGTTTTTAGGCTAGTCGTTTTCTTAATAAAACACTCTGAAAGCGCTAAATGGGTGTCCGCTTCATCGTGACCACCGACAAAGTCGTTAGTGGCCACTTGTACGTACGCAGCATGTGTCAACAGCACGAGGTCTCTCAGATTTACGGTCGTATGGCTTGGAGCTAATTGAAATTTTTTAAGAGCAATCAAGTTTATTAAATCATAAGAACACGACGAACTTTGTGTCACAAGTTTATTTAATGGGGAGTGGAACAGACCAACGTCTTCAGTCTTTTTTCGCACCAAATTTGACACCCCTCGCCGCTCCTCTCCCCCCGTGGGTATATCTGTGCCCCCTCTCTCTCTCTCTCTCCTCTCCCTTTTAATGATGTGTGAAAGAAGCGTTTGAAATTTTAACTTTCATTCATCGTACTAATTTACCTACCTTTGTCAAGTAGCACTTTAAACAAACTTTATAACAAATGGGTGTTCTAAGTTTTATATGTTATTTTATACACTTCTGTATTTTATCTAAGTGATATGCACTGCATAACGCATCACTGCATGCCCATGACGGGCAAATTCTTCTCAAGTCTCGCCCGTTATGGCCCCTGTCTAATAGAATTCGGGATCGACCTCTGCAAACCTTCGATCCGATTTTACTAGGCTTTTCAGGAGTTGCCAATACGTCTAAATGGCGGCGGAAGCCTTCGGGGAACAGTGGCGTCGTCGGCAAGAAATCGACAAGCCAGTTAAGGGTTGTCCGAAGGCTGTTTTGAGAAAGGATGCCTTTGGTCGGTTCCAATGCTCGAAATTTTGCGGCATGGGATCATTTCAAAGTAAGCTTGCCGCGCAAGCGGCAACCGACGCAACTTTGAGGTTGAAAAGTCGCAAAGCGGTAGAGAAGGATACTCGACGGGGGCTAAATATCGAAAACGAAGCTATCAAGCTATTTTCCCCATTTCTATATGCTAGGAGAAACTTCAATGTCTCAGGCTGGAACTCTGTCATTTCTTCTAAATTTCATTGGCCCGGTTCCGGTTAGGTCAGAAGCAGCCAGTCCCGATTTCGAGACGGCAGAAAGAAACTTGGCCATGGCCATGGCCGCTGTATACGGGAGCGACTGCTCCCACGATAAACAGAATCGTCTGTATAGAGGAGAACCTTAACCATATTTTTAAGATCACGTATCTGATCAGGAAAACCCTCAAGAGCAACAGGGAAAAGAAGAGCGATGGCTTCAGTTATCACGCTGGGCCACACCAGGATACGTGGCTCTCCTGAACAAAAACAGTCAATCTTCTGGCCTGGGTACACAGCTTGCGCCATGCTAGAAATCAGTCCTTTATAGGAAGTTACTTGGCGTGTAGTGATATCTAAGGGGAAATAATAGCAAAATTTAATTTACTCAATTGTTCAGTTTCCTAACCCTTTAGATAATTTTAACAATGGATAACACAAAAGAAAAGCTGAAGCCTATAGGGCTATCTAATGCAGCTTTTTCAAACAGGTGATTATGTCATCTAAGTACCACGCGGGAGTCTCCCCTGATGTTGATCGCTAAGAATCTGTCGCAATAGCGAGGCATCTTATGCGCCATTTATACGATTTTCGACATACGGTACTCCAGAAATGGATAAGAAAGATTTCTATGAAAAAACTATTTAGACTTTGAACCAACTTACTTGAGATGCGGACGAGAATGCTGCAATACTAATATTACTCTGTAAGTAGGCACCTGTACGTAAAACATCGGTGAGCACGATTAATTCGTGCGTCCAAATAAACTTACGGACGAACAGCTATGACAGAAAAGTATAAATAATGTGTGTTTATTGGATGGAGATTACTGGATACATTACTAGAAAAGTGACCTTTTTTTATTTATGTATAGATTTAACTTGAATTTGTAGAAAATATATGTCTTTCTTTAACACAATGAAACTGCCCTGATCTCAAACCTTAAGTGTATGTAATGAATCTGACGAGAGACGGAAGACGACCGTTACCAACACGCGAATACACATTGCGAGGTTTCGTGCTTAGGAGACGCACCGCGCCTCTTGGACTCTGATGGTAGTCTCCCAGGTAACGATTCAACGGTAGGAAATAGCGAGGCCCATCAAGCAAGTTCACACATAGAATCCTGATAATTATTAATCTACCTATTATGGCGTTCCCGACGACAGGTTTCTACTGTCAAGTCATCTACCGTCATCTAGTGCTAAGGTTATGCCCCGTTGCCGTATCAGCAGCCTTCAAGCCATTAGAAACTTCTCCTAACGCATGAGCTGTTACTACGAGATTGTGTACTTCTAATAAAAACGTACGATACTTCGATAGACTACGCCGTCAACTACATCGTTACTTTAGGAGAATACGTAGCACCGTCGTCCAAAGCAGAGAGCTGCTCTTAAGCTCAGACAGACACAAAGTCAGGATGTTGGACTTTGAATATTCTTTATCATTAATTCTTGTCGTTTCGAACATTGCATCCTAGGCAATTTCTGGCCGGAGACGATGCTCATTTTTGCAGCCGCTGCACTCTTAAATAACGGTTGATTTGCTATGAATAATTGAACATGTGCGCGTTTATTTTAAACGACCGCGATATCATGTAAAATAGTCACATAATTACATGAAAGAGAAGCGTCTCAACAAATTCAGATTAACAAAGCTTGCAGGCTCATCAAATTAAAAAAAAAAAAAAGCATCAAGTCTAATATAGTGGGTGACCTAATCGTTAAATTACTGCTCTGACCGTTTCAAAATAGGCTCAATCGGTGATTTAGATGATTAGAAGAAAGCATAGCCACCACACCCACGCTAACAACGCCGACTCTGTCCGATCAGCCTGTCTTTAGCCAAATAACAAACCCAACTGCTCAAAGGACCAATTCCTGGCCTATACGGTATCTGTTGCCTTGCTTATTGAAGTCCTATATAACGTTATACCGAACTGGAGAACTGAGTTAATAATCTATGCACTTGCCATTTCTAAGAGTCACCGTCTGGCTTTATTTATTATTTAAACTAAACTTTATTAAAATTATTGCTACGACTTTAGTCATTACAAATGGCGTAAAGTAAATCTTGGCGTTCATTTTGTCCCATGTTTCAGCTTCTCCCAAACTCACATGGATATGATGACCGATCTGTCACAAACTGGACGGAACGCACTTCCGTACATTATCGAAGGATCACTGTTGCTGGCTGATTGCAGGCCGACGATGTCACAGAAATAGAAGATAGCGAATTATACGGTGCAGGTACGTTCTCTCGAAGCCTTTGGAGGAAGCTGTCGGAACCTTCGTTATAGAGGTTCGTTTGCAGGATAGGCTATTCGATTTCAATGAAGGGAATGCCAAATTTGCCGTGCAAATAATACTTTCTGTTAGGGTACAGGTTTACTTCTTAGTGAAATTGTCCCATGCCCATTGATAAAAAGCATTTAGCGAAGTGATGACGTATTTGACAGTCTTATAGCGACCGCGTCGGACTTGAAGATCGTTTTCTTTTTTTTTTTTTTTTTTTTACATAAACATTTTGATGGCTCATAACATAGCCGCTCTCGTGAAATGCCTTCTGCTAATGGTTAAAAAAGCGGACTCCTAAAATGTCGTCAACCCGCTAACGGAGCTAATTTTCAATTATCTGGTCGGGAAATTTATAACACAGAAACAGGGCCGGTGAAGAACAGCTTGTTGTCTCAAAGATAATTACCTGCGACGATCGTATGCAATTTTGTAACTTCGTTCGGTCTTCGTTAACGACGAAAAATATGTCGTAAAGAAAAATGGAAGGCAAGGCAAGACACTGTATTGTAGTAACGTAAAATAAAATAGCAGTAGGCCAAGTGGTATATTTCCATGTAAGGCCAGGTAAATAGACTACTGTGAACCTTTTACATGGTGTTTTACTGGCCAACAGAACACGAATGGCAGGGTACACCTTCGCTGATTCATAGGTTAAGGCGAAAAGTTTGTTTAAAATATTTTCAAATTAAAACACATGTGGAACATAAACGAGAACAATTAACCAAAACACGTATCATGTTATTGTAACATGGTCGTCTTTACGAAAACCTTTAACGTTGAATCGTGTTAGGGCTTCGCTTAAATGATATCTAATCGTACCCTAATGGATGGGGTTCGGAACTTAGCTACTGCGAGTGTATTGACAATGGAAGTACCAATTGACCTCGCTCATTTGGCAAATGAAAATATTGTGGATTAGCAATACTGGATATATGACGTAATTACGGAGACAACAGCAACTAGGAGTACGTTCATATGGCGATATGGGAAAACACGCTGAGATATAGTCTTCGCCCAAATGGATCGAGTGGTCATTTTTAACAAATGGGCTTAGTAATTACCCATTCATGATAAACAGACAATGAAACATTTGTTATTCTAAAAAGTCAGGAGGAACAAGTGATTGTTATCCATAAGTCTTCTTCAATCCACGATGGGTACTCTAGCAGTGATGCATGTAATTTTCAGGTAAAGCTATCGACATGCTCGTGTCACCTGCTTCATTAGTTAGAACCATTTTACCATTTTATCTAATTTGATAAGTGCCTCTCAATCAAATGAAGGCCACCGACTTGGAAAAATGAGCTTAGCGGTTAAAGTTCATTTAAGTCCGCAAGCAGACCTTCACATCTGTGGCACATTACATATAGTCTATGTTCCTGGGACACAGACTATTGCAGATGTTCACTCTATGTCTAAAGCCACTCAGGTTTTTTTATTATGTAAAATAGTACCAAAAGACCGAACTTGTTCTAATATCTCTAGCTACGATGAAGCTTCGTCTCTACGACATCTTACTCTCGAAGCCTCAGAGCTTCGAGAGATGCGTTATTCGTCTTTCCATTCGACCTGTGATCTTCAACGATGCGTCACGTACCGTTATCCTCCCAAGGTCGTCGATTAGCAACCTTTTTCACCTCGTCTACGATTGGTCTAGGCGGATTGTCTCCTGAATGTACCATCATCGCAACAAATAGCTAGGATCTTCAGCGGTTATTGAACGCTTTGACTAACACTTAAATGTTGATTAAAGCCTCCTAGACGCCGAAGCAGCGGGCACTTAACACTGAGCAGTCTTCAAATCATCCACACTTCGACACTTCGCAAAAGCCATTAGTGTCAAACCTACGAACATTCACAGAAAACACTACTGATAGTCTTGACGGATGCCAGCCTAAATCACTCTATACGACGGTCCTCATTTAGTTTTAACGACCAAAACACACTGCCATATACAACATTCTACTATCGTCTGCTTTCGCACATATACGCTAACGGAACGTTAGCCACAGCACATTGTTCTAGTTTCTCGTAAAGCTATTGTAGTTAGGGTAGTCGAGAGAATGGGTTTGTCCGTTTCAGCATCGAACACACTAGTTGTTGCTTTCTTTTACGGTACCAGTTGATGAGGATAACGTATAACGCACTTGTTGTCCGAAACTCTCCATTCAGCACGTAACAGACCTCATCATCGGGCAGCGATTTGCTAAGGACTAACGGATTCAAAGCTCCATCTGTGAGGTCCGAAGCATGCGTTCGCTAGCGCACAAACAGACAGACAAAGATTCACTCACGGGACGCTCACGTACCGCTGCCTTCGTTTGAAAGAGAACCACAAGCGGCGCTTCGGGCGGAGCCTTTGACTTCAGTCCCGCCCAGCGACAGCTCTCCACTCACGGCGGCAGCCAATCCGCGCATTCGTCAAGCGCAAAACATTGTAAACAAGTCATTGTTCACAATGAATTTGCTTTGGCCGAAGGCTCGAAGAGGGGTGGCCGTTTAATTGCGTTGTCCTCTATTCCTCAAAGGTATACAATGATCGCGACGAGGTGATGATGTTCTTCATCTCCCGTTCGCTTATGTCTAACTCTGTTAATTGTGCATCCCCGTTGTGCATGTAGGCGCTTGCGTGTCCACATATCGAGAGATATCAGCAATTGCATGGGCTGGCTTTCGTTTATGAGCTCATGTTTGTTTATCTACTGCTCCCACTATCACTCTAATGATTAACTACTGAATACTTAAAGCTGGCAAACTACGTGTGTCTTTTAAGAATGTTCGATTTAAACGTCTTCTGATAGCGATCAGATATGGGTTTCATTGTACTAAATAAATAGTTGGACAGATCTGATACATGGTTTTTGCGCACCTTTGCTAAAAGCTTGTACATCATCGCCTAGAAATGACAGCAACTTAGCGAAGCTCAATTATTATAACTAGGAACGACCACGGTTCAGCACCGTCCTACGTCTTAACAGCGATAGAAAACTTTCACCCAGGGAATTTATATACAGTCACTCAATTATGTTTGCAGTCAGTCAGTCCAATAGCTGGATTCATTTATGGAAGCAGGAATAGCCCTATATGCGACATTTGGATAGTGGGTAAAAGCTTCGTCAGTTGAAAAATTATGTTTCCTCAGACACACGAGCCTTTAGTAATGCCCTCTTTTCGGTATTCTCGATTAGGTATCGCACCGCAGCTGTGGGTGAGATTTCGATATAGTTCGGTTGCTTCTGGGATTTTTAAATGGCTTTCGCGGCTTTGCAGCGTCTGGGGAAAGAATAATAAACCCCTGTAACCAGACACAGGCGATCGACGTGTTCCGAATGGCGGAATAGATATTTTACGTTTAATTTCTATATGTTTGCTCAAACTAATGCCCATGTGGTGCTTAAAGCTTTTGCGCAAAGACAATCTTAGGGCTTGATGCCCACGAAGCATCAGTTATCAATATTCCTTAAGGGGGCGCTGGCAGGATAGTGCACGTCGAACACGTACAGCTCGTGATAATTCTCGTGGGGACGGCCAACGCGTCTTGACATGCAGCAAGACTCCAGAAGTAGAAACCGGCCGAGAAAGCGAAAAACGCAGTGGTTTTTATATTTCGAATCACTATTACTTTTTTCGAATCTTCTCAAAATTTCTGAAGGCTCTATACGGATTCGTAAGCGACTGGCACATTGAAGCCTGCGTTAAGAATGACACCAAGTGCACTCGTAGCTATAGAGAGTGGGCACAACGTGGTACGGATTGAGTACGGCGCGCTCGTTCGCGGATTCTGCACCTGATAGGGCGACTAGTATCTGACTAGGAGATGCAGTAAGCACAGGCCGGAAAATTCCTTTCGAGTAGAGCGCCGATGATAGCGTTCGTACTAGGCACAGTGGGACGAAGTAGATAAAATTAGTGCTTGTTAATTGCTAGATGTTGCTTATCTGGCGTTTTCTCAGGGAATGAAGAGGACTGAGCCTGAAAAACGTTGCTCGCTGCGTCCTCACAAGCTGATCTTGGTCTATCAAACGAATCTCGCGTTACAGTTTACCTGAGAACCGTAGAAGATGTATCAATAGTGAACAAAAACTCAGGTGGTGAGGTCGGTTGTTAAGACATCTTAACAATAACTGTAAAATATACGTGAGGTCAGTGTAAGATACCGTCACATCTCATATAGAAGTAACAGGCTATTTTTAACATCGTAGCGTTCAGTGATGATGTCATTTAGGTCAAAAAAGATGTCAGAGGATCAGAATCGGACCGCGGTTATATAGAGGCACAAACTGCACTAATCGGTTGGCTTTGGTATCGTTATTGCATCTAATTGGTCCTATCGCCGATATTCTCCTTATGCTGAGTCCTAATATTTATGCCAACCAGCGGATCTCCGAATGTAACTGAATGACCACAACAGCATAACAAAAGCATCTAAGTAGACGACTACAAATAGATCCCTTGAGCTTTGCCTGTCTTCCGTCATGAGCGCGCCTTCCTTGTAACCCCGCTATGTTCTTTATTGATCGTTTGAAAGGAGCGAAAACTACGGATGGTATTGATTCTGACCTGTTAGTGAGCAGTGGGAACAGATATGAGACGGGGCTGACCAGATCTTCATTTTTGTCGATCTGCCTATGACGTACGACGTATTCTTCTCGTCGCTATGCAGACCAGTTTCAATAGCAGTATATTTGCTGTTTGTTCATAAGAGTTTTCTAATATTAAATATACTTTGCCTCGTTCCAATCTGAATAATGTGGATCAATTCAGTTTGTACGTGTGATGCTTGTCCCAGTACATCTCGCTAACTGTTTTGTCTTCGAGCACAGATTTAGAACGAAGTTACAAGCGGAATGATTAGTTTTCCTGCCACATTCTATTATTTAGGTGGGTTTATAGTGGGTTTTATGTGATTGCCGCTTTAGTTTTGCCGTTAGCAGCAATACTGTGATGTTGATCGATTGAGTTCAGTATAAATGCCCTATGGATTTACGCATCTGTATGTTTTGTAGAGTTATACGAATAGGCGAGTTCATGAGGTTATTTTTTTTTTCGCTCATTAAATATACAATATACATATTTCTCTTGCAAACGGATATAGTAGATAATATGGTCGACCAGATTTCACACGGGGAAAATAAGTTTGGCGGAGATGCGACACCGATCGCTGAACCTCGAGCAGATGATCATTTACCAAATTATGTAGCCCCGGTCCCCCGCCGAAAAAATGGGAGGTGACAACCGCTTAAACCTATAGCCGTCTCGCTCTGTCCCATTGCACTTCACAGATTCTTAGTGATTGTAAAAAAATTGAGAAAAACTCATACCAGTTAATCCAGCTTGCATAATTATTGACCGGTTAGCGACACATGGCTTCAGATAGGAGGGGTGTCATACCGGTGGTAAACAGATCTTTTGGCCTGTTATAAATTCATTTCATCATAAATCTAACTTACCGCGGTCAAGACGAGAGTGCTTCAGGCGCATGGGTGTTTTCCTATGCGAGCTACTCTGTTTGTCGCAGGAACGCTACAACGAAATTAAACGAGGGAAAATAATATGTCTAAGTTTTCGATACTACGTCTTGGCGGTTCGAAGAGTTAAACAAATCGACTTTTTATACTAGAGCATACACTAGCTGAATAAAGCGTTCGTATCAACTCTGGACGGAAGCTCGAACATCTGCTAAAAAGCGATCTGTACATCACCGATGTTAAGACCCCGCGTAATCAGGAATGTATCATCACCTTCGTCTCGGATAATCTTTTGCAGAGCACAAAGACTTACGGTTTAGCTGTCGTCGTTAGATTCTTTAATTCTTTCAAGCCTCGATCCATTGATTAAGATCTTTCATAATAGCTTGGCTTCGGCTGCTCCTCTTTTCGTTAATTCCCTTTTTAATTCTCCTTCAGCTACTGCTGTTGTCCGGGCATTCGACAGCAGGCAGCTTCCCAAAGCCTACGAAGTCCTAAAGTTAGTCCTTGTATCATCAGCAATCGCCACCTAATCATAGCTAAGTTGATACCCTCGTTGATTTTTCAAGGTTTCACCGCTAGATTGAAATTGTCTAATCACTCTGATCACCTGGACTATGGAGTGAACACAACGTGGTACCTATGCGCTTGTATGATAGTAAGTAATACGCCTTAAGGATCTTGTAGCGCTCCCTATCAGAGCGCTTAAAGCAGTCACAGCGGGTCTCATTTGTGTCCGTGCGGTAGTTGTTTGCTGGCCAGGTTTTTCTCATCACGGTTTCGAACCGAGCTCTTATTTGCTTTAATCGCCGACGACTCAATTTTCGACTTCAGGTGGGCGGCGGCAACGAGCAGAGATCGAGACACCGAATTGTCAGAACGAATGGATAAGACAACGGGGTCAGCTCTTGATTTGAGAATGGAGATGAGACCTTATATGACGAGACATCGCATGCGCACGACGACTCTGGAAAGCTCAATCTAATTGAAACATCACCACAGTCGCTATCGTCATCGCTGCCATCACTATCAACGAGTGTGTTTGATTACGACCATCACATATTCATATTTCAATTAATATCTTTAAATAAATAATACATTCAGTATCTTCGTTAGTATTGTACCAAAGACGATATATTTTTGTTTTCGTAGAGGTGTTTGATTATCGATGCTTCTGATCGAAGTTTATATATCTGAGGCTAGGAACATCATTTAGGCTGCACTACTTGTTATAATTTTGTTTTTGTAAGCTTGTCAAAATTGCATAGTTTTTATAAGTTCCGCTATTTACACAGGCTGTGTAGATGTGTCCTCGGCGGAACTTCGAATAGCGTTTAGCAGTTTGCTTTAGCCGGACAATTGAGTTTATGGATAATTCGAAGTGCTCATCGTAATCTTCCAGTCTGTCTTATGATCAATGTTGCGGTTAATAATACTATGGTTATCCAAACGATTTTCCGCTTCCCGATTCAGTATATTTAGCAAAAAACGCAGAGCAAAGGCACAGATCTCAGCCAGAACCTGTGCATGCTTTGAAAGCTTCGCTTTGTACATATCTGTCTGCTCGTTTATGCAGTTCATAACTGCTCTGCCTGAAGCTAAAGAAAAATTGCATAGAAGCAGGAGAACTATTTGTTTGGTTGTCCTCGGTGCTGGCGCAGCTATGGGATGGTGCCATCTGCCACAGAGGACTGGGTTTCAGTACGGCAAATAGAAAATCTTTAAGGTTACGTTGCTAATATGGACGCTCGTAAATTACTCAAAATAGATACGTCAGGGGAAAT